CACTGACAAAGAACAAATTAAAATATACCAAGAAAGAAAAGCTTGTAGTTAGTTCAAGGATCGCTGGCCTTTAAGAGTGTTTTCCAGTCCAGTTCTTATACATTTGTTAAGGCTAAAGGATCAATTTTACTCTAGCATTCATTATGTTTTTCATTGTTTCCAAATTTTCATTTTCCATTTTTTTTTCAGTGTGGGATTGGGGCACTGGAGTCTGCTAGGAGCAAGATGGCCCCAAACTTCTCCAAATCCACATTTCTTTGCCTCCAATTCTTACCTGTCTAAGGACATGGAACCACAGACACACCTTTTCAGAAGGACTCCTTTTCCTTTTTAATGGTTACAAATTATAAATGAAAAGTACTGTACGACAGAGAGGTGTGACGTGCTGGTGTCTGCCTTTGTGCAGAAAGTATTTGTACATTAAATGACGTCCCTTTGAAACAGACCCTGTATATTTTAAATCATACAAGGAGAGCTTCTAGGACTTTATGGAAGAATCCCATTACTTTTTAATTCCATTTTTTCGGTGAACTTTTTAATTTTAAATCATTTTATTGAGGGTTCTCACAGCTCTTATAACATTCCATACATCAATTGTGTCATGCATATTTGCACATATGTTGCCATAATAATTTTCTAAATATCTAATTTTGCTTTTGGCCCTTGGTATCACCTCCTCTTTTTTCCCTCCCTCCCTCTGCCCCAGCCTCATGAACCCTTGATAAGTTATAAATTATTGTTTTCACATCTTACACTGACTGCTGTGTCTGTTCACTCACATTTCTGTTGTTTATAAGCCCCCCGCCCCAGGAGGGGTGGTTATGCGTCAATCACTGCAGTTGGTCTCCTGTTTCTCTCCTTCACCTCCCCACCTCCCCCCTACCTTCCCTGGTATTACTATTTCCATTTCTGTTTCTAAGGGGTTTATCTGACCTGGTTTCTGTGCATTGTAAGCTCTTATGTGCACCAGTGTACAAGCTCTGGTCTTGGCAGAACTGCATAGCAGAATTGGGGTCATGTTAGTTGGGGGATGAGGAAGCCTCAAAGAACCAGAGGAATATTGTGCTTCTTCTATGCTATTCTATGCCCTGGGTGACTTGTGACCCTTTTGTGAGGGGTGTCCTATGGTCTACAGATGGGTTTGGGATCTCTGCTGTGACCCCTCACAGGGCTCAACAATATGACTTATTTTTTGCTTTGGGTCTTCTGGTGCCTGTCACCTGATCTGTAGACACCTCATGAACACCCAGCCTGGTGTGCTACCTCTATGTGGGCTTTGTTGCTTCTTGCTAGATGGCTTCTTGGTTAACTTCAAACCTTGAAGACTCAAGACACTATATCTTTTGATAACTGGGTGGTCACCATCAGCTTTCTTCACCACATTTGCTTATGCACCCATTTTGTCTTAAGCGATCGGTGGGGGGTGTGAACATCACAGAGTGCCAGGTTGTTAGACCAAAGTGTCCTTGTGTTGAGGGAGGGCTTGGGTAGACACCCCAAATCCATGCACATCCTCAGTGTATTGTCATATAATCTATGAACTTTTTGAGGTTCTCTCATAAGTTGCATTTTAGGTTTCATATGGAAGCAGTAAATCATAACATAAAAATTCAGTTGTTAATACATTTGAAAATGCAGTTATGTCACTACATTTAATGGTGACTGGTTATCTTCTGATGTAGGTGCTGTGGATGCTGTGGTACAATGTGTTTTGTTGTGAATGTGTAGAATCTAAGACTATAAAGGAGAACTGAATCCCCTTCCCTTTATTTCCTTTTAGACCAAACAACACAGGATCCATGTGTCTGCTTCAGGTTTTACATTTTCAAAGTGGAAATCAATATTATATTTTGGAAAACATTCTTTTGGAAATGTAATGCAAGAGCCTCGCTCTCCATTGTCTGATGTGGGTCAGCAAAATAATAGAGGTCAGCATCATAGGGTGCACATTCTAATTCTTGTTAAGCATCAGGGGCATGGTAGGGCACACATATTTTTCTTCGAGAAAGAATGACAATTTCTTTACAATTATTGCTGCGTTCAGGGGATACTCCTTGATTAGTCAATAGTTGTTGAGAGCAAAGATCACTGTAGCTCGAGTGCCCAGTAGGGGACCAAGAAGATGTGCCCCAACCCTCAGGCTAGAGGAGACATTGAGATAATTCTCTAACACTAGGAAGAATTACATTAAAACCTCAATGAATAATTGAAAACATCCTTTCCTTTTCAAAGCTTTTACACAGAAAATATTTCACCTTGAAAATTGTCTCCTATGACAGTTTTTTGACCATTTTTTGCTGCAATTGCCCAGTGACAGTGACAAAAACTTTCACAGTTCCTTCTGAACTCATGGGACATGGGACTTGGGACATTGATGTAAGTTAGAGGAGCTACCCCCCATCTTACCCACCTCCACAAAAAAAAAAAACCCAGATTTTTTTTCAAAGCTATATGCTTAATTTTTATTTTTTTTACCAAACAATTTTATCACTTTCAAAGTACTCTCCATCACACCTAATACATTAGTCAAATCTGTGATCCATTCTCAGAAACATTTTTCAAACTCATTTGTTTGGATGGCTGACTAAACCTCCCTCATTTTTTCCTTCATCTCTTCTTCTTCATCAAATCGCTGTCCTTTCATGTCCCTCTTTGCAGAAACAAAAGGAAGTCTCATGGAGTGAGG